ACTTACTTTTATACTTTGTTGATTAATAAAGTGTATTAATGTAGGTAGGCACAATATCTTCTTTACATAAAGTGATACAAGCTACATAGCACGTTTTATTTAAAATATTATATCTTGAGGACATAAGATACCTTGAGTTGAAATTCAAATTTTTGCATCCTTTGCAATAAGGTAACCTCGAGGGAGCGTTGAGACTCTGCAATGTCTTCTAGGTTGGCCATGTTCAACTGTAGTACTGTGTATAATGTGATTTAGTGATCCCAGATGAAAAGTTCAAGTGAAATAGTGTAAAAGTTACCAGCAGGTAGGTGCAGTGGTGTAACTTCTCAAGTACACATAGGATAGTGCTGACTCCAACAAATGATGTGTATTGAATATAAAGTTATAATAATCACTACTAATTTTTGTAATATAATTAAAATAAATTATAGAAAAATATTTAAATTTAGGAGCAATGTGTCACTTGATTAAAAACTACCCGCCGAAAAAGGCCTTTTCTTTGATTTTGAAAACTATTCACAGAGTTAAATATATATATGGACCTCTCAACCCATCAATTATTATTAACGGTATCAATTGTGTTGGGAATATCACAAATCATAATAATCAAACTACATAAATATTTACTGATATTACCTTTCAAGGACTCACATCCCTAACACACACTTTCCCATGGGAGCTGGCATCTTGTCAGAGAAGATTTTTTAGAAAGAGAGTGGTACCAGATGAAGTTTATTAAGTTTCTGATATTGTATTTAATGTATTTTCAGTATCAAGCCATAAGGCTTATCACAAATAAAACATAAACACACACAAATAAAAATTATTATCTACATAGATAGCTATGTAGATAAGAATTTTTATTTGTGTCCTATATAAAGATACATACAGAAATATAGGAATATTAAAATAGTAATTTTAATCCTTCAGTTAATTTAAGTATTGATTCATTTTGGTTTTTATGAAAAGCATCATTACTATATTAGCAATGAAACATTAAGTAGTTGGATGAGACAAGGAATGACAGCTAGTGGTGTGGAAATCTACCCTTCATTCCACATGTCATGCCTGTAGTTCTTTTACACTTAGATGGGAAGTAACTCGCAATACTATTTTTAAGAATGCAGGTTAGTCTTATAGTCTAGTCTTCAGGGTCGAATGTTTTTTGCAAATTATTATAACCACAGATAATATAATATTACATACAGACCGCTGAGATTACAGTGACTGTATTTTTGATGAGGCTTTATGTAACCTGGATTCTGATTAGGTGGATGCACTTTATGTCGATTGCTTGAGAGAATAACCGATAGAAATTGTTTTTGTTTATTGATTTATATAGTGAATATAAATTATGTTCGTATAATAAACTTTGAATCTTTTATGGTATAGATTGGTTAGGTATTCATTGTGTTGACTCTATAAAAAAGAAATATTTTATTTTCGATTTTTCTAATAAATAAAATTATGGCTATATAATGAGCCTTGACTTGTTATTGTCATAATTTTATAGCATAGGTGTACTACAACTACCAACCTCTAAATATCTACAAGTGATTATATATGGAGTGTCTCGGCCTAAGCATCTCGTATAATTGTAAAATTAAACGAACTTACCTTAAGTGAAGTTCTATGGAAGTTGCTCTAAAAAGAATGACGTTTGCGAAGTTGACAGCTCCTGCGATTGGTTATTTTTTAAATGGAAACATTCTTGTTTCTCTAAATAACACGAAGACACAATGCGAAGATTGTTGAAACTACAAGTAATTATATATGGACTGTTTTAAACTTGACGCGGTCATTATTTATACGTATAATTAGTAAAAATCACGGGATCTTACCACGTTTTATATTTATTTGCTGAGTTCCCGATATTTCGGTAGTGTTTCAACCACCATGATCACGGGTAAACTGAAGAGCAGCGGGTAGATGGAAAATGAAATCTTTTTATGGGCAGACATATGCGTCTACCTTCACACGTCTTCGTTTGTTGCTACTACTGGAACTCGCTCGATATTCATCTCGGCAAACTGTACTCACAGTATCTTTACGTACATTTAATACACTTTTTGATCGCGTTTTTTGTTTTTGTTTAATTAAACCAATCACTGGATTCCAGGCATTAGAGAGCCTATAGCCGTCTTCTCGATTGAAATTTTTATATTTCTGTATTTCAATGGCCTCTCTAACCATTCTTGGGATATAATGCCGTTCTGATGTTAATACTTTTGGTTGGTGTAGTTCAATCCAGTGATTGGGTCCCGATCCCAACAAGTGTTCCGCTATGGCTGATTTACGTGGATCGTTGTTTTTAATAGCTTTTATATGTTCAGCAATGCGACGGGCTATTCTTTTTGTCTGTCCGATGTATGAGCTCCCACAACTACAGTCCACCTTATAGACTCCAGGATGTTGTAGAGGAAAGTTGTCCTTAGGTGAACGTAACATTTGCTTTATTTTTCTGTGCGGAGTAAAAACAGTATCTACAGAGTATTTACTCAATAGTCTGCTTATCTTATCAGTCACTCCTTTAATATAAGGCAAGAAAGTTTTTTGACGTTCCACTTTACATGATTTGGGGCGACTGCTTTTGTTGTGTTTATGGCGCCATCTAGAAATGTCTATATTATACCCGTTATTCCGTAGTACACCTTCTACGTGTAAGAGTTCTTCTTTAATTTGTATCTTGTCACACAGGTCATAAGCCCGATTAACCAGTGATGATACTACGGAGTCAAGGTGCCTGGGATGATGATGTGATGTAGCGTGCAGGTATCGGTCCGTATGAGTTGGTTTTCTATAAACAGTGTGTCCCAATGTCCCATCTTTTTGAACTGTAACTTTGATGTCAAGATAAGCCAAGGATCTCTCTTTCTCTATTTCAACTGTAAATTTTGATTTTGTATGGATGCTGTTTAGATAGGATAGATATTGCATAACTTCGGTTTCCGTTCCCTCCAAAATACAAAATATGTCATCCACATATCTCTTCCACAACTTTACAGGCAATGCAGTTGTTGAAATTGCCAAATTATCAATTTTCTCCATCCATAAGTTAGCGACAACAGGAGCCACGGGGCTACCCATGGCTACTCCTTCGACCTGGAGATAATACTCATTCCGATATACCAAGTAACCAGAGGTCAAACAATGCTCAAGCAATATTGCATATTCATCCGGGATGTTATTTTCCTGTAATTTTGACTTTACTAGTTCGACGCATTCCGATATCGGCACATTAGTGAATAGAGATTCTACGTCGAAACTCACCAAAATTTCATTTTCATTTAATTTTATGTGCTCCAGGGTTTGGACAAATTGTCGGGAGTCCTTGACGTATGAAAAAGTTTTTCCGACTAATGGTTGCAACACTAGTGCTATATGTTTGGCTAGATCATATGTTGGTGAGTCAATTTGACTAACGATAGGGCGTAGAGGACTACGGGCACTGACCTCGTGTGTTACGCGGATGACACCTTGGTCACTGCCCGGGGGCGGGACCTACGGGAGGCTACCCGCTTTGCCACGGCAAGCGTGGCACTGGTCGTCGGCCGAATAAGGAGGCTTGGGCTCCAGGTGGCGCTGGAGAAGACCGAGGTCCTATGTTTTCATGGGCCTCGGCGCGCGCCACCTCCGGATGCCCAGCTGGTCGTCAGTGGCCAGAGGGTGGGGGTCAAGCCCTGTATTAGGTATTTGGGGCTTGACCTGGACAGTCGTTGGAGCTTCCGCGCTCATTTCCGGAACCTGGTCCCTCGCCTTATGGCAGCCGCCGGCGCTCTTAGCTGGCTGCTGCCAAACGTGAGGGGCCCGGGAGAAGGTTCCCGCCGCCTATACCTCGGCGTGGTGCGGTCCATGGCCCTGTACGGGGCCCCCATCTGGGTGGGGGCCCTAGGTAGGGAAAATGTGGCCTGTCTCAACAGGCCACACAGGGCCATGGCCATCAGGGCCATTAGAGGCTACCGCACCATATCCGGGGAAGCGGCGGGTCTGCTGGCGGGGTCTCCTCCGTGGGACTTGGTAGCGGAGCTCCACGCGTCAGTGTACCACTGGCGCGCGGAGCGACGTTCCATGGGGGAGGCACCCGCTGGTCACGAGATCGAAGCGCGGAGGTCCGACTTTCGGCGGATCCTCAGGATCGAATGGCGGGCTAGATTGATGAGCCCGTCGGCCGGCCTGAGGACCGTCGAGGCTGTCCGTCCCATCCTCAAACGGTGGATGAATAGGAGATGGCCACTGACGTACCGCATGACACAGATATTGTCCGGGCACGGTTGCTTCGGGCGGTATCTGTGTCATGTGGCGAGGAAGGAGCCGACGACCGGCTGCCACGAATGCGGAGGTGTAGAGGACACGGCGCAACACACGCTGGAAATATGTCCAGCGTTTGAGAGTGAGCGCCGTGTCCTCACACGAATAGTGGGGGACGATCTCTCGCTGCCGAATTTAGTTCGGAGGATGGTCAGTAGCGAGAGATCGTGGCTGGCGGTGAGCTCCTTCTGCGAGGAAGTTATCTCGGGAAAGGAGGCGGCGGAAAGGTAGCGGGAGTTAGCTCGTCCCGCTTCCCTCCGCCGCAGAAGAGCCAGGTCTAGAGGTGGGGGCGTACCCAACTCTGCCCCCCTATATCCCCCCCTGGGGCCGCGGTGACTACCTTAAAGGAGGCAATCCCCCAATCCAAAGGCCCCGGAGGTGTGCGCGTGTACCCACACGCCTCCACAATGGAGTAGGGCGAAATAGGTCGCCCTAACCACAAAACGAGATGGGGCCTGCCCTACAACATCTACAGGGCGGGCCGTCGCCGTCGGAGCTGGGGTAGAATGCACTTGCGAATCCCCTGGCTCCGGCATAGGCGCTCGTAGGTACACCGTGTGGTTTTTAGTGGGTACAAGTCCCACACACCACCTCGCCATCCCTCCGGCGGGGTGACGGTCTTTTGAAGATTTTTCCACACGTTAAAAAAAAAAAAAAAGGGCGTAGAGTGGATTTTAGGTACCTTGTGGATTTTAGGTAGTCTTAGGTGGTCTTAGAAGATATTTAACAACATGATCTGGGAGACACTGTTGATATCTTCTAATCAGTTCACACGTTTTTCGTGCCACTCTTGCAGTAGGGTTGTACTTAACTTTTTTATATGTGCCTTTGTCACTAAGTAAATCAGTCATTTTACTGTCATAAGTGGAAACATTCATAACTACTGTAGTATTACCTTTGTCTGCCTTTAGTACTAGAACCTGGTCATCCTTACGTAAATCTTTTAGCGCTGCGAATTCTTGAGAGGTTAAGTTGCTTTTTGGGCTTCTAGCTTGGCGCAATACAACCGCAATATCCTGTCTTAATGAATCTGCGTCATACCCAGTAATTCTGTTATGATGTATGGTTTCCTCTATATTACCAATTATTGTTTCATAAGGAATGTGTTTTGGAGACGGAGCAAAGTTAAGACCCTTCTCCAAGGCCCGTAATGCAGGCTCACTTAGATCTTTGTCTGACATATTAATAACCGTATCATTTTGGATCGAGTTATCTAAGTGAGTTACTTTCGAGATATTTTTACTTAGTAGTATCTCGTATTTACGGTTAAGTTTTTGTGCACTAAACTCACCAGATCGTTCCGCCTGCAAGTATGTAATACGATCACAGTGTTTAAAATCCTCCTCGGATAACAAAATACTGCATTCCAGATGTAACGCGTACAGTTCACTTTGAATTCTATCGAGCAAGTACCGATCGTTTCGTATGAGCTTACGAAGGAGTTTTTTACTCGCTTGTCGTAGAATGCCGGCGGAACCTGGGATATCCATTCGCGGTTTTATACGCGCACATATTGGTATCAAATCACTATCACGGCATTTTAACAAAAATTCCAATGATTTACGTGAACACTCCAGCTTTGGAGGAAGAGATATGTGGATGACATATTTTGTATTTTGGAGGGAACGGAAACCGAAGTTATGCAATATCTATCCTATCTAAACAGCATCCATACAAAATCAAAATTTACAGTTGAAATAGAGAAAGAGAGATCCTTGGCTTTTCTTGACATCAAAGTTACAGTTCAAAAAGATGGGACATTGGGACACACTGTTTATAGAAAACCAACTCATACGGACCGATACCTGCACGCTACATCACATCATCATCCCAGGCACCTTGACTCCGTAGTATCATCACTGGTTAATCGGGCTTATGACCTGTGTGACAAGATACAAATTAAAGAAGAACTCTTACACGTAGAAGGTGTACTACGGAATAACGGGTATAATATAGACATTTCTAGATGGCGCCATAAACACAACAAAAGCAGTCGCCCCAAATCATGTAGAGTGGAACGTCAAAAAACTTTCTTGCCTTATATTAAAGGAGTGACTGATAAGATAAGCAGACTATTGAGTAAATACTCTGTAGATACTGTTTTTACTCCGCACAGAAAAATAAAGCAAATGTTACGTTCACCTAAGGACAACTTTCCTCTACAACATCCTGGAGTCTATAAGGTGGACTGTAGTTGTGGGAGCTCATACATCGGACAGACAAAAAGAACAATAGCCCGTCGCATTGCTGAACATATAAAAGCTATTAAAAACAACGATCCACGTAAATCAGCCATAGCGGAACACTTGTTGGGATCGGGACCCAATCACTGGATTGAACTACACCAACCAAAAGTATTAACATCAGAACGGCATTATATCCCAAGAATGGTTAGAGAGGCCATTGAAATACAGAAATATAAAAATTTCAATCGAGAAGACGGCTATAGGCTCTCTAATGCCTGGAATCCAGTGATTGGTTTAATTAAACAAAAACAAAAAACGCGATCAAAAAGTGTATTAAATGTACGTAAAGATAGTGTGAGTACAGTTTGCCGACATGAATATCGAGCGAGTTCCAGTAGTAGCAACAAACGAAGACGTGTGAAGGTAGACGCATATGTCTGCCCATAAAAAGATTTCATTTTCCATCTACCCGCTGCTCTTCAGTTTACCCGTGATCATGGTGGTTGAAACACTACCGAAATATCGGGAACTCAGCAAATAAATATAAAACGTGGTAAGATCCCGTGATTTTTACTAATTATATATGGAGTGTCTCGGACTAAGCATCTCGTATAATTTCCATAGAACTTCACTTAAGGTAAGTTCGTTTAATTTTACAATTATTTAGAAAACTAATGATGTTACACTGTCGACGTGCCCTAAATGTTGAAACAATAATTAATACCAAATCTCAGTTAATAACGTAATAAATACGAAATTCGACTATACTCTTAGTTATAAGTAGGAGTATATTTTAGACAGATTCTGATTATAACTAGTGTTTACGCCTAAAGCAATATTCGAAGTTTGCTATTTGTCGACACTGATGTGAAGAGGTTAACGTAAATTGGTCATGTTCGACGTTTTCATACAATATTACTTTACGTCCAGTACAAGATGACCTATTTGGTAGCCAGGGATCAACGTTAATTGGTGGCTTCGACGTTTTCGTACAATATTGCTTTGCGTCCAGTACAAGATGAGCTATTTGGTAGCCAGAGATCAACGTTAATTGGTGGATTTCGACGTTTTCATAGAATTTTAGTATTCGTCCGATATAAGTTGAAATAGAATCAAGTAAAGTGAAATATTATAATAAAATGATAACAATTTACCAGTTTCAGTTTCATTTTTTCCTTTATATTTACTTAGTTACCTATCTGCATGCCAAATTTGAACTTCCTAACTCATCTGGAAGTGGGTTATAATTTTGATCTATAGTTGAGTCAGTGATAAAAATGACGATATTTGGACGTAAATATCTAAATAACCGTTTGAGATGTATTTATGAAATTTGGAACACATATTTATCTCGCAAGTCTCAATATATGAAGCAAATTTGACAAGTTTATATGAAAGAGTTTTTGAGTTATGAGGGGGTCAAAAGTAGCTCCAAATGGTTCGTGTAAAACTACACACGGTGCTGCTCGCCAGTTCTCTTACTTGACACGCTCGGCTTTGACACGCTCCCGCGTGTCTAGATATCGCATAGCACCCGCCATGCATCAACATCTGCAGCACACCACGCGAGACTCTCAATTAATGTAATCAAATGAACCACGCGGTGGTCTGTCAATTCTTTCAGCTTGGCAATATTCTATAACCTACATATTTTTATCTGATACAGAACAGGACAGGATCTTTGTTGAGGCAATATTTAAATTATCTACGTGATTACGACATAATTTTGTTATGTAATTTATTATAAATAGTTAATGATTAAACGAACTTACCTAAGTGAAGTTCTATCATAATTATACGAAGCGCTTCGTCCGAAGAGATTAGTACTAAATATATATAACTGTTAAAGCCTGATAAATTTCTATAGCAAAACCGGCTAACTATTATTAATATTACATTTTACCGAGGCGTTATATTGATTTATTTTTTTACCACCCGTTACAAAATTATATTCTCTCATCAAATTCACTTAGTCACGAAACTTGCATACTGTAAAATCTTATCAAAATACAAGGATATCTAATTACTTTTTGAGTATTTTTATTGCTCCACGTGTCTGTAAGGACATATTTGGCGACCGTGACAGGACTGTACGAAAATACAGTTTGAAATTAAAGGACTGACTCGCTGTGAATATTACGTCGCGCAATTGATACAAAGTATATCGCGAAGATAATACAAAAGAAGCACAGAAACCAGCTACCAGCCTTTGGAGAAGAAAGAATTGGGATTTGTACAACTAATGAGCCGATCAGCGTAGCATCTAAAGCATCGCATCGCATCATTTGAAGCCAAAATCAGAGCTAAGTGCCTTTCCTTTGTTCTCCCTACAACACCTATCCATATTACAACAATCATCATAAAAATTAAATTAAAACATTGTAATAGATGTTTAAAAATATCAAGAAATTGCATCGTTTATTGTATAATAAGTAGAATCTTCCACTTGTGCATTCTATGTGTATAACCAAAAAATTAATGTCTATTTTGCAAAATATTACGAAATTCATAGTGTAACAGCAATACATATCTTTTGTTGTTATTTTATTTAATTACATATAACGATCGATAATATATTTAACATATTTTACAGTGGGTAAGTAAAGATTGCGTCATCATATTAAACACTTAATTACCTTGCCTTTAAATACATACTAGATGAAAACCCGGCTTCGCTCGGGTAGATATTTCTGTAGTCATTGGTTCTCAAAGAATATTAAAGGTAAGCAAGGCATAGATTCATAAAGCTTCGTTCATTGTGTTTAATAAATACTATAGTAAATAATAAGTGTAAAAGTATTTCTACAAATATTTTTTATTTTAAATCATCATTCAAAATAAATTAACAAAACATATAACTTTTAAGGTTTATTCTCTGTTAACCTCTTTGTTTTAAGCACTCTCTACTTTACCAGATATTTAAAACCAATTGCTTCATCCAAATATCTTTCCCATTCTTGATCGTCATTTTCTTTCTTTTTTTTTTAATTTAGTCCGCGCGACTCTCCGGGATTTGCCGAGTTCCTAGTTTTGTCGCTCTTTTAGTTCGACGACGTGGTCCACCACCGTCCTTTTCCCCTTCTTCCTCTTTTTCCTATCCATTTCCTCTTCCTTTCAACCTTCCCTCTCGTCCAGCGTTAGCCATTTGCTACGCTCCCACTCTGGGATCGAGCCCCCATAAACATGCGGGGCTTGGGGCTACAGGGACACCAAGTAGCTTAGTAATTAATTTGTAAGTGCCATACTTGGTTATAGTTTGTTTTTTAATCCGGGAGACTAAATTGACAGGTTTAAATATCAAATTTTCAAATAATGTTAACACCTCGGCTGTATGGGCAGTTCCCTTTGCCTTTCCGATTGAGGATAAATGAAAAACCAAAAAAAAAAAGTTATCACCTGTAGCGGGGTAGCTGTACCGATTTGTTTAATCGGAAACTTTTATTCTAATAACTTAGTTTTAAAATTTAATATGACGTTTCCAGAACAGAATTGTATAATTTACGTACATATACTAATGTTTCCACTACTGTCGTAGTGTTATACAGAATAAAAATGTATTTTTGTCGTTTCCGTACAAATAGTAATTTTTACAGTATTAATCTACAAACCAACATTTTTTCTTACAATCAGCTAAATAATATATGACACTATGAAAATGTCATTTGTTTTATAAAAAAAGGCAGTTAGTCTTTATTTTAGTGAAAAATAACAAAATCTATTTTGATACAACAACCATATATTTATTAATACTTATACAGCTTTAAATGTCAAATTTTCAAATAATGTTACCACCTCGGCTGGGCTCGTATGGGCGCAGTTCCCTTTGCCTTTCCGATTAAGGATAAACGGAACCAAAAAAAAATGTTACCACCTGTAGCGGGGTAGCCATACCGATTTGTTTAATCGGAAACTTTTATTGTAACAAATTAGTTTTAAAGTTTAATATGACTTTTCCATAACAGAATTTTATAATTTACGTACATATACTAATGTTTCCACTACTGTCGTAGTGTTATACAGAATAAAAATATATTTTTGTCGTTACCGTACAAATAGTAATTTTTACAGTATTAATCTACAAACCAACATTTTTTTCTTACAATCAGTTAAATAATATAGAACACTACGAAAAGTCATTTGTTTTATAAAATAGGATACAACAACCATATATTTATTATTACCTGTACTTTATTAATTTTGTGTTAATGCTTTTTAAATAAACACCCACACATTATTTCCGTATAACCTACAAAAATGGGTAAATAACATTAATTTCCAATAGTGCCACAACCTTATTTAAAAAA